GAGTGGGGTAGCTAACCAATCCAGCTCAGTCACGGTTTCATTTCTTTTATAGTCTCATAATAACCTTTCCTTCGAAGGCTTGTACAAACAGGACGTTTGGTCTCTTACCGTTTATCAATTTTCTCATTGAAACGGTAACTTTGATTAAATCTTATGAATTTGTTCATTTTTGAGCAATTTATCATGAGATTAACTTTTCGTTAACACTTAACTTTTCCTTTTAATTTGACATTGACTTAACATCGATACATACTTTTTGCAGAATAAAGTTCTGCGGCTACTTAAGTCTTGTAGATACATGCATAACATTGTATCTAACATTCAAAATTCTAACATATGCACAATGTTTGTGCAACATAGAAAAGTAAGCTTAGTTCATGAAATAGCCACAGAAAAAACTATTGTACTTACCAAAGTTTCGCTATCAATGCGTCCCTTGTCTCACTTGACGCTTTCCGACTTCAATCGTTAATCGATCCTATTGCATAAATTTTCGATCATTAGATTCAAAATCTAAGATCAATAATACAATTAAAATTCAATTTGGAAAGGTCTACCATCCTTATGTTTGGTATTCAATCCCAAAATATTTCCTATCTTTAGAATTTTCACTAAAACCATGCACTTTTCTCAGTCATGGCCCTAATTTTCAGTTTCAGTCAAAAACTGTAAATTCTCATTGTGTTCAGTTTCTATACGTCACCGATTATCGAAACACCTTTCTTTTCACACTTTAATCCCTTATTCCTCTTGAAATCCAGCTTTAGTTCAAAATACTCAAACTAAATTTCGGCAGAGTTTCGCTAATTTTTGTATATTTCCTGAGCTAACCTTAGCTCGTTTTATCCATTGTTTCCACCACCAAACATAAATCACATACTTTCTCTTTCAAATACACCATAAATCTTAATCATGATTTTAGGGTTTTCTCAACTTTTCTAACAAAATTCTCTATATCAAAATTGCTAGAAATCAAGGTTAAATAACCAAAAATCTAACCTTAAATTCTTAGATTCCATGTTCTCAAACCATTTTAAGCAAAATCCCTACCTTTGAAAATTTTTTTTTTCCTTTTAAGCAAAATCCCTACCTTTGGAAAATTTTTTTTTCCTCTCTATTCTTCTTGAATGCTCTCTGCTTCTTTTCCACGTGCAAATAGCCAATATATGCCTTAGTTCCTCACTTAAACCGACTATCTCAAAAGCAAGGACCAATTTTTGTAAACTTTGACTTTTCAAGCACCTTTTTGCAAAAAAAATCACAAATATCTATTGCTTCCACAAAGAGTTGGCCGGCTGCCCTTCTTTGCTTTGTCCACTTGTCAAAATCTCATGCATCCAACCTTTTATTACTTTAAATCTCAACCATTATTAATTTTATAATTATTCTTTTTTAGTTTAGTTTAATTCCTATCCGGTATGCGTTTTATACGCATTTTTCAGATAGTCAACTTAGTCAACCTTGACCATTCTTAACTAACTTTTCGAGGGCGACGTTTTGATCGACTCTTGGTCAACAAATTTTGACTTGGTCAACTCAAATCAGTCAAAACTCCAATTTTCTCAGTTCGGCCTTCCGAACCCCTTTTTCGTCCGTTTTTCGTTTTGGCAATTTCTAAAATCCTAGAATTGATGTCTTTCAATTCTTTTCCATTTCTTAAACTTATCATTCATGTGTTTGCCTACTTGTGGGCTTAACACAACATTCCATACTTCTTTCTTAAATACAGTCTGAAAATCGGTAACTGCATCGTAGTTCAGAAATTTCTGAACTTAAGCTTATAACTTGTTATTTCATACTTATATCAACAAATACTTATCATAAAAGAATTTATATTAATGATACAAAGGATTCTAGAGAATATTATCCTATACAATAATTCCGATAAATTTCTCGGTCATGACAAAATCCAATCTCTTGGTGCTCCAAGAAGCAGCGGACCATCGCTCGATCGTCAACTGAAGCGGAATACCGTTCGGTGGCCTCTGCCACTGCTGAAGTTTCTTGGCTTGTCAACCTCCTCACATATTCCATGTCCAGCTTCCTAAAGCTCCTCAACTTTTATGTGATAATCTTGGGGCCACTTACCTTTGTGTAAATCCTGTTTTCCACTCCAAAATGAAGCATATCAAACTTGAATATCATTTTGTTCGTAAGAAGGTTGCCAATGGTTCCTTGCATGTATCACACGTCTCTACCCATGACCAACTTGCCGATATCCTTACGAAGCCACTTAGCAAGTCTCGATTTCACTTACTTCCACACGTCTCTACCCATGACCAACTTGCCGATATCTTTAGGAAGCCACTTAGCAAGTCTCGATTTCACTTACTTCGGTCCAAGATTTGTATCTCCAACGGAAGCCACATCTTGCGGGGGCATATTAAGGAAAAATCTTCCTCAGTTAATATGCAATAACAACTATCATAATCTTCTCATTTAATTCATATCAATCATCTTGTAATTATATGCTAGCTGTATATTCCTAATAATAGGACCGTATCAATTCTTACCATTCTTAATCTTGTAGTTATCTGTGTATATATACACTTTGTAAATCAGTAAGTCAATACAAATCATTTTTCACCAAAACTCTTTTATACTCTTTACTCTTTTAGAGAGCATATAAATGTTGTGACAAGCAAGTGTATTTGTTACTCTCCTTTTAACCACTCATATTCCTCATACTTGCAAGTCTTTTATTACTGATCTTGAAATGCAATTTCGATTTCGGCAATCAGAAATGAAGCAAATTTAAAATGCTTGATGTGGAACTGGAGTTTCATGACGCAATCATTCATACATGGTGAAAAGATGGATGATAAAATATTTGTTATTGAGAAAACAATCATTTGTTTTCCCTTTATCTAATATTTCAATCGTGTTAATATGACTCTTAGCCTATAATCCTCCAGTATGTGGGTAATGCCAATTCTTGTGCTTGCTGATTTTGCAATAAACCATTTAAGTACCAATGAAAGCCTTTTCCAAGTACTGTGGCAGGAGAGAGAATTCACATGAAGCGTCTAAATTTTCCACATTTTTACCAAACTTCTGCAAATCTCTTAAGAATGTGTTTAGGTTTTACATTTCATAATCCAATCATTAGAGAGCTAAATGTTCTTGAACACTTAACAGGGTCTCATATGCTGTGTGGTAAAAAAGCACTCATTTCCTAGTCGATTTTGAGGATGAATTTAATATCCAGCATCGTCCCAACCGCAGATACGACATCAACTTCTCATTCAACAGGATCTGCTTTAGAAAAGCTCACCAAGCAATCAGAGCTACCACAAGTCCCTCTTTCCCCAAGCTCTCCTACCTCTTTCCTGATTTCCTCTCTGGAAGGAGCATCCTCTCCAAACCAGCCGTACACTCGACACCGATAAACTTTCTGCGGTTGAAGAAATTCTAGACGTTGAATCTGCACCACCTTATCTTGTAGAGAGAGCCAACTTTGTGTAACCTGGTCCAGATCCAAAGAGAAGAAACTATCGAGAAGTAGAGAGGTTGTCCGAGAAGCAGTCTTACCAGATTTACTAAAGCTCTCCTGAGCATCAAATTCTTGTATGCTCTCCCTTGAATGGGACATATGATGAGCTGATGATAAGTTTAAAGATGGTTATTCTGGAATCCGATACGTTTCAAGCTTATGCTGCATTTAGAGAGGTGGCTCTTGTGCCAATTGACATCCTTCCCTCATGTCCTTATAATGGAGAGTGTTTCACTTGTCCTTCATTTTGATGAACTGAAGGAATATAGGATCAATCTGTCAACTTTTGTGTCCTGCTTTCGGCTTCATAAAGAAGGCTTAGTAGTAGGGCATTTTAGCCATATTTTTATAGTGGATGCTTCAGCAGGTTCTGAACCAGAAACCATGTTAGCTCTTTCTAATTTTGCCGACGACAATACTGCTGTTGTCATCACAGCCTCACCCGAAAACACTCCATATCTAGTCCGTTTGGATATGGCTCGAAGGAAAGGCTTGAAAATCGGAGACTTTGAAAGGCTGAGAAACGATTTCTCTTCCAGTGACATTTGTGAACAGGCTTAAGCTCCCTTTTCCTGCTTGCTTATAAAATACAGATTATGCACAAGCGCAAATAAGGCCTTCATTTTTATTGATCTTTGTTTTTTTGTTTTTTTGTTTTTTTTTTTTTTTTTTTTTTTTTTTTTTTTTTTAAAAAAAATGCTTTTCAATATGTACTGTATTGGTTTTGAGCAGTTTCTATGCAACCGGGGATGATCTAATTGCCCCAACCCGCCCCCCAACCCAAGTTACCCAACAACCATGTGGTATTGAATAAGGGGAAAAAGAAGAAAATATGCCAAGACTTGAGATGAAATAAAATTAATAGGCCAATAGTTTACATAAGTTAATAAATAGGCCAAATTACTGTTTTTATCCATAACTTATCTGGTTATGAACCATAACTTGATAAGTTATTGTCAATAATTCACGATTTTTGTCCATAACTTGTCTGACTATGAACCATAACTTGACAAGTTTGTCTATAACTTATCTGGTTATGAACCATAACTTGACAAGTTATGACTTATTAATTTTTATAACTAAAAATTAACCTATATACTTTCTTAAGCTTTTCATATTGACTTATTTTCTACTATTTTCATTGAATAAGGTGTAACTAAAGCCTTTCCAGAGCTAGTTAGTTCTCAAATTTTATTGAAATAATTACATAAAATACTATTCATCGTGTTTTGCCAATACAATCACCATTTACACATGGAGGATTATGTGCATGAGTTTGTTCTTCTTCAGCTTTTTTAGCCAAGAAACTTTACTTTTCTTTACTACACATGATTGCGTTATGTTTGCCCAGAGCCATTGTTTCTCTCATAATCATTGCATTGCATAATGTGATTAACCAATCCACCAACTAATAACCTTGTCTCTCCGCCAAACAACTTGGACAAAGTTAATCTTGTGCAAGAATTTTGACAAAATTTGCAAAACCCAAAAGAAAACATAAAGTCCAAAACAAGAATTTCATAACTGAAATTTTGAACATGTTCATGGTATTCAAAAAAGGCTATCCTACTTGCAGCTGGGGCAAGAAAAGAAAAAAGGGATGATTAAAATCCAAAAACAAGGTTAATCAAGTATATTGTGTTTCTAGATTCAAAGGACAACTTGATTTAAGGGTTTGGATCATGGGATTTTTTTTTTTTACTTGATTGACTAAACAAAGGGGAGAATTAATCCCAAAAATATATGTATCCAGGTGGATAACCATTTTAAAACATCACTGTGACTGGATTTTTGGAATTGAAAATTATAAACCCTATAAATGCATCGACTCATTGTGCACCAGGAGATAACTGCTTCAACTTTGCTTGCAAAAGCGCGCCAGCTTCATCCGCTATGCTCTTCTTCTTAGAAGCAACCTGCATTTCAAATTTAATAAATTCGTAATCAGAACAGATCACACAGAAGATTCAGAACAAAAAATTGATGCCAGTGAAATACGAAATCCAAACTCCATAATAGTACGAAGAAATGAATGCATTAGCACCTTAGGCCAGAACTAGACCATTTTTTTCCTTGCCCTAAACAATAATGCTTTTTCTTACAAGCACGAGACAATATACAGAAAGGAATATACATCATAGCTTGAAAAGATAATAGAGAGAAAACTTTCCAAGCAAAATCTACTTATTCAAGATAAATAGTTAATCCCCTCAGCTCCCTGATGAACAATAAATCCACTAAGCCCCCCGAAGAGTGTTCTTATTATTGCACTCTCGTGGCACATGCTTCCATGCCTTTTAGATACTGGGATGAAGCTTTAGAGCTTTAGTGTTTATTTCAAATACGTTGACCACTGACTTTTGTATTACAAGGCCAATCCCCTTTAAAAAAACTTTTTCATATCCAACCTGATTACTGCCATCGAGTCTTTCAATTGCTTGTTTTCCCTAATGTGAGGCCCTACAATGCTCATAAATTCCATTTTCAATCCACTTGCACATTTTTGGGTAACAGTTTCAATCACAAAGGCACAAGTGTTATAAAGATGGTCGTGTGTTTATCTCCCGAGATGTTATCTTTGATGAGAATATTTTTCCCTTTTTCTCAGACATCCAATCACATTCCTACACAAATCAATCCATCTACTATTATTCCTCCATCATGTGTAAGACTTCCTCAAAACATACCCATACATTCTCAATCTATTTTTGTATTTGCTGTAGTGCTGTTGACCCAATCCCAGAAACAGTTCCCAATCCCACAACTGATCCTGCTGATCTTACTCTCCTAGGAAATGCAGTTGACACCAACAGACTTAATACATCCTAAGCTGTTTCTTATGCTCCTTGTACAGGTACAGGTAATTCAGTGAGGTTAGAGGAAGAACATTCAGGTCTTGAGGTGGACAGGTCAAAAAATACAGTTGGAGATACCGTTGCGGGTTTTGTCTTTAATGAAACCTTCACTCCATTTGTGAAAACCTACCACTACAAGGGCGGTACTCACTGTTGCTTTAACAAGACAGTGGCAGTTAGATAGATAGACATTAATAATGCCTTCTTGAACGGACATTTATAGGAAGGAGTGTACATGACTCAACCAGCAGGGTCTGAAGATCCTCAAAATCCAAGTTTGGAGCAGAGGATGCATAAATCCCTATACGGTACAAACAAGTTCCAAGAGCTTGGTTTAAGAAACTTTATGGTGCATTACAGTCATTTGGGTTTGTTTCTAGTTCTACTAAGTTTTCTGGAGATACAGGTAAAACGTACCACTGTAGGATTGCATTTGTCTCAAAATAAATACATTATGGGTTCATTATGTACGGCTAAAATTCGATATGCAAAGTCGGTAATTGCACCCACGGCACACGGATTGAAATTGACTACATATGGGGAGTGATCCATTAGATTATCCACACTTGTATAGGAACATTGAGAGGGCACTGCATTTATGTGACGATAACTAGACCCAAAATAGCCTAGTGTTAACAGGGTATAACAATTTATGCAAAACCCCAAGAGGCTCACTGAAAAGCATTAAAACGGGTTCTAAACTACTTTGTCAGGGACTTCAGATTGTGGTCTTCGTCTCGGATAAGTTGTAACATGAGATTTGAAGTCCTAGTAGGATTTAGCTCTTATGCCTACTTTGGATAAAAAATATGATCTCTTGAAATTCAAAAAAAAAAAAAAAAAAAACACAACTTCTAGATTATCCACTGAAGAAATCTGTAATGAAGAGCTCAGAATTTCACACTATCTCATTCTTTAGATTTCTCTCATTTAGACATTTCGCATTTATTTAGCTTTAAAAAAAAAAAAGAAAATCAGGAGGTTGTAGAATTCGATGTTTAAGGAAACATAAACACACCTCAACAAGTTGATCGAAATTCGATTTCAGCAAGTTGATCTTCCGCTCACAATAATCCTCGCCCTCAGCCATTGTTTTCTGCAATTGACACAGAATCAATAGCAACCCTAGTACAACTCCAAAACCGAATTTTGATAAAGATCAACACAGAAAAATCAAGAGAAAATGAGACCTCGATGAAGTAGCCGGTGCCGACGTCGACGAGGACGTTGTCTGCGTCGTCGAGAGAGCCGGAGACGTAGAGAGAGGCGGTGAGAGGGACGAGGATGGGCTTGCCCTTGGGGCGGAGGGAGAGGTCGTGGAGGGCGGTGGAGGCAAGGTCGAGGCGGGAGGTGGCGGTGCGGATGTTGTTGAGGCTGTCTTGGAGTAAGTTCACCTCCAGATCCGTCTGCTCCTTCACCACCTTCAGCTGCTCAATACTCAGCTTCTCCAATCCCCCACTTCCACTTCCGCTGCTTCCTCCTTTCGACGACGCCATTTTTTCTCCGTTCTACTTCTGAGTTCTGATGTCTCTCTCTCTCTCTCTCTCTCTCTCTCTCTCTCTATTGGCGTCTTTCTATTACCCTTTTTTGCTTCTTTTTCATTGGCAAGTAGCAAACACCAATTGCGCCTACCGAATAGCCCCTATAGCTCAGTGGTAGAGCGTCAGTCTTGTAAACTGAAGGTCTGTAGTTCGATCCTGCATGGGGGCAACTACTTTTTTCTAATGTGCTATTTGAGCTCCTAAATTTAGAAGAAACACAATGTCCGTTTAGTTCGTTCATTTTTAATTCGAGTTGATATGTGATTTTATATGAGAGTTTTTCATTATAATAAAAAAATTAGATATGATTGTTTCTGAGAGCTTTTTACTGTAGTAAAACTCGAATTCTAAATTCAAATCAGTGAAATGAACGAGGCCACAGTCTTTCGCGGATTCGAGTTGAGATGTAATTTTATGTGAGCGCTTCACTGTAGGAGAAAAGTTAGATGTGATTTTTTATAAGAGCTTTTTACTATAGCAAAATTGGAATTGAAAACTCAAATTTATGAAATGAACGAGGCATAATGTTGCGTTTGGTATGAGGATTTTAGAACTAGAACTGTGATTCTAGTTCAAACCTTTGTTTGTTTACAAAAAGTAAAAAATGGTTTTTGAAAACCAATATTAGTTTGAATGGTTATGGTTCAATGTTTGAATCATGATGTGATGTTTTAAACTAGAACTATCACATAAAATAAAACCACCTCCCCCTTGATTTTGGATGGTCTAAACTTTTAATTCTGATTTTGGTTCCAGAACTATGGTTTGGACCATAAATTCAAACCATAAATCATGGTTCTAGTTCTAAAACTAAAACCACCCTTATTTGAACCCTCCTACCAAACACAACCTTAGGGTTCGTTTGGTATAAGGGTTCAAATTAAGGTGATTCTAGTTTTAGTTTTAGGTCTAAATCATGGTTCTGCAAAATTAGGAATTTGAACCATCCAAAACAAGAGGTTAGGGTGGTTTAGAACCAGGATGGTTCTGGTTTAAAACATCACATCAGAGTTCAAACCTTGAACCATAACCATCTAAAACAAACACTGATTTTGTTGAGTCGAACTAGAAGCACTTTTTACTTTTTGTAAACAAACACTGATTTAAACCGGAACCATGATTCCGATTCTAGAACCCTCATACCAAACAGGGTTTGAGTATCCTTATTTTTCTTAACGGTGTTCTATACACACACACACACACTCATTTTTACTCTCCACACCTAGGGGTGTTCATAGGATCCAATTAACTGACAAATCCAATCTAATTTATTTTTAATGGATAACCGACCTCAATTGAATTGGACTAGATGTGATTTCTTTAAAACCGACTTGAGTTGGATTGGATGTTAATTTTACTTCCAAAACACCCAATCTAAACCAATCCAATCTTTATATATTATATAAAAAATAAAAAAAAAATGAATTATGTTTTCTTTTTATTATGGATCATCATCAAAAAGAGCAGTAGACATGCACATTTAAATAATTAGACTATGTTTTCTTTCTATGTTTGTTTCTTTATACTTTTGGCACCTAACGTCGGTTTTTTTTATAGTTGTTTGTTGGATGTTTAATCAACTTTTACATTTGTAATTTGGAGTTTATGTATATATTTTTAATGAATGTTAAGAGCCTGTTTGGTTCATGGATTAGAACCATGAGATTAGAATCATTTTCGATTTACGTGTATTTTTTGTGAGAGAAAATACTGCAGCGAACCATGAACTATGATTCGAATCAGAGAACGAATCATCTAACCAAACGGGCTCAAGGTCTTGTTTCTTTTTTCAACTATAGCATTTAAATTATGTTAAAAATATATAAAAAATAAGTTGAATATGAAAATAAAAATTAAAAAATTGTATAAAAAGCGCAAGCTCAAAACCGATTGGTCCAATCCAATCAAAACCGACCTCAATCGGAATGGATTGGATTGGATTGGATGATACACTAGTAATTAGATTGAATTGGATGGAATTTCTAAAAATTGATTTTTTATTGGATTGAATGTTATATAATTAAAATAGATTGGATTGGATGAACATCCCTATCCACACCTCTCTTAAACTATATTTCTAATTACAAAATGACTGTTAAAAAAATGATAAAATAGACTAATTATATAATTAAATTTTATTATAAAAGAAAAACTAGTGATAAAGGGTTTTTTTTTTCTCACCACACACCTCACATCTTATATTACCAAATTATATGTAGTGAATATTTTTTTTTTCTTTTATATGTAATATAGTTTCTCTTGTTATTAGAGAGTGCACATGTAAAGTTAAGGAGACCACTTAATCAAGCTAAGAAAAATTTAAGTTATCATAATTGATAATAAACTCATTGCTCGAGTCAAAACATACTGAGATAAAATTTTTATTTGAAAAAAGTTTAACGATTGTACAACACAAATTCAACCTGTAGGGTTTACAAAACTATGAGGTTTTATATCTATTTGCACTGCATATAATATTGGCGGACTCTAAACGAGTCAATTTGGAGGAATTATTCAATGGACTGAGTGTACCACGTCATTTTGCTTATGTAGTACACTCGTTCAATGAATATGTAATATTTTTTTTACCTACCTTTCTTTTTTCTGATTAATTATGCATTAATTATTAGTCAAAACCATCATAATTATATAAGTAAAATGACAAAATACACTCAATTCATTGAATAATTCCTTGACAATTTGATTGGTGTGGATATTTTAAAGTAATGAATAAATAAGAGAGATAAAGAAATAAATAAAGTAATAAATAAACAATCCATGCCCAACTTCAATATAAGAAAAATAAAGAGATATAAACAAAAGATAATATTAAAGTAATAAATTTATTTATATTAGGTGTGTGTTGGAAGGGGGTGTGGAGAGTAAAGAGGTGGCTGCAAATAAAACTATTTTTAATAATTTTATGAAAATAGTTGGGGATAATATTTGAATGACATGATGTGTAGAAAAAGAAAATTTAAATCATTTAAAAATTATGTAGGATGTGTAGTTAAAAGGTAGTATAGAGAGGAAAAATGGGGTCGATAGAACCACCCCCTTTCATAATATTAGAAAAATGTTACGTTACCACGAGTTTGTTTTGCAGCAGCGATGGGAATTAATACCAAGAACATCTCTAATACAAATGCTAATGCCTATTGTATATTTAACATTTTTGATACCTGATTTTGTACCAGGCCCAACCATGGCGTCATGCAACGCTATTGGTCTCGCTTCGTGGACCTAAGCTACAATCATGGAACTCCTATGGGTTGTGGTTTGGTGGGCCACGTGTGATCAAATTGGCATGTTTGTCATTTAATTCGATCCAATTTGAATCCCGCATGGGGGATTTTCAGAATTAATTAGATTAAATACAAATAGATGATGGAGAATTCCTAAAAGCCTACCTCATCTCTTTTTGGAAGCCCAAAATTCTTAATTCCACGCCTTAGAACCTCTTCCTCTTCGTCAAGGTTGATTCTCAGTGTTTTGACTCTGACAGAGGCTCTACCCGCACCAGACGTGCCTAATGGAGGCAACCTCCATGACAGACATGTCTCCTAGAGCATCCTCTTCAAATCCAACTATGCCTAATGGAGCCTTTTCTATGTCAAGCATCATTCCTTTGGAATTCTTCTCACCTAGCTCACCATCGGAGCAACCTTCACGTGGAGCATGCTCACCCTTCGGAGCAACCTCACCCGGAACAGCTTTCATCTGGAGCATACTCACCATTAGAGTAGCTTCATTTGGAGCACCTTTCATTTCATAGCTAACTTGACGGTTGCTGAGCCTATATCATATAAACCATCTCTGACAAGGTTTGACATGCGATCATACCTCTGAAAGAGGAAGTCAACGGAGCACAAAGTTGAGTCAAACACTCTTGAGAATTTCAGACCTTGAAACTCTTCACATCAGCTTCAAATCTGAAACTTTGCCTCCAAGTCTTTCCATTTTCAGATCTTTTCTTTGTCAATTTAGAAAGTCACCTAACCACTTTGCTCCAAAGGGAAATGCGTATGTAGGTCTCTGTTAGAGTGTCGCAGATTGGGCTTCGGAGCAGCCACTATGAACCTTTCTTTTCCATTTATGGACTAAACGCTTCTGGTGACTTTGCTCCATTTAGATCGCATATACATGCTTCCTTCAGAGCGCCACTGATTCACCCTTAGAGCAAGTTTCCAAAAGTCTTCATTCCATTTTCGGCCAATCTCTGGTTCAACTCCAAAAATGTGTCAGATGGCTTTGCTCTATCGGGATTGCTTATGCAGGCATTCATCAGAGCGCGTCGTACGAACCTTCAGAGTTGCCGTGAAAATCTTACCAACTTTACCTATAAATACCCTCATCTTCCTCATTTTAGATGACCTGAAGCCTTTAAGCCCGCGCCCCTCATCTCCTTCATCCTTTGAGCCCGCATTCGTCAGCCACTACTTTCATTCTCTTCAAATCACTTTCTCTCCCTTCCGTAATACTTCTCTAGTCTGTTGCTATAGATACTTGAAGTTCTTCAAGCTCTTCAAAGTTCTTCAAAGCTTTTAAGTGTTGATAGTTTGGAAACTCTCCCAAAACACTTTTCAATCTATTTTCACCACCATCACAAAGTTCTTCAAAGTTACTCTTGGAGTTCCCTTCACTAGAGACTTATCCACCTCACCAACTTCAGTCTCACACTCCAACAAGCCTTATCCACCATTTGAGTCACCATCTTCGCCCCTGGAGCAGCCCGCGCAACACTGTTCTATCAAGGCACATTCGGCCTCATTTTCTCCATCACCATCGACTACTTGGTCGCACCTCCCAGTATTATTCATCGCCAGAGTTCTTTTATTTGTGTTTGTGGATTCTCTAACATATTTTGTATGGCATTTTCGTCCTTTCGATAACTAAGAGGGTCCTAGGACATGCGTCTTCGGCCTAATTTGGATCTAGCCAACCACGTGCCTACGCGTGTTAACTCCCGACACGTCGACCCTCCAAATTTACCGGACCCCAACAAACATTAAAAAGTGTGATAAAGTATGTTGTTTTCACTTTTACACCAATACATAATGTTATTTGAAATACTAAATATACTTTTTCTCATAATCATTAAGCTTTAAAAGTTATAAAAGTAAATATTTCTTTTTAAAATAATTAAAAAGTGTAAAAAATGTAATGATTACATAAAAAAGTAAATATTTCAACCAATAACATTCAAATGCTAAATTTTTCGTATGCTATATTTAGTGAACAATTTACCTCAAAATATAACATATAAAAAATTTGGCACAACAAATAACATTACATTAAAGAATATTTTATACACTTAAATGTTAAATTTATAATTGACACATCAACTATGACATTCACATAATATTAGGAAATGTTACGATACCACAAGTTTGTTTTGCAGCAATGGTGGGGAATAATATTAATATGGTATTTACATGTTTTTTATAACATCATTTTGTACCCTGTAGCTAGTTTCTTAAACATAGAGTGTCTATTACTCATTTTTTACCACTTTTATGTAAGTGATCTACAGTTAAAGAAAAAATACCGAAAATATTATTTATTCATTTTTGGACACAAGGATAATATTTACTTATATTTCCTTTATCTATTTTCTTAATTTTGGATTATTAAAATCAAAAGGAGGAAAACAAGGAATAGAGATTGCATGTCCTAAAAAGCGGTTAAAAGTTACCAAAATGAGATGTTTTAGAAAATCGACTTACTATTTTAATAATGTAAAAAATAAAAAGGACCCAAATGATTTTTTTTAAAGAACATGGGGTACGAAAAAGTAGTTCTCTCTCCACTAAATTTAAAAGTGAGTTGCATAATTTGTCCAATTGAAAACGATGGTAAACTTCTCATGTTGCATATAGATTTTTACACATTGACTTGCACGTGGGTATCTAAAAAGGGCATAGATGGTCATTTCCTTCATTTCTGTCGTGCAGTTACCGTAGACTTGAAGTGATACAAATCCATCATCAATGAACTACAAATCAAATCCATCTTTTTTATAAAAAAATTATTTTCCATAAAGCTTCAAATAGCCACACACAAAAAAAAAAGAAAAAAAATTGTCAGTTTTGATGACTTCTTTATTTTTTGTTGTGCGAATATAAAAAAAAAGAAATTTATTAAATTTATTTTTAAAATACATAAATTTAAATTTTTATCTTTTATTTTTAAATAATATTTTTTTATTAATATAATTATTTGACTAACGCATTTTAAAAAGTATTTATCTATTTTTCTCTGTGATATTGCAACATAAAATTATAAAATGGTGTCGTCCGTCCTAGACCAATAACCCAACGAGCATTATACGTACGGGGTGTACCAACTTGTACATTTAATATAGAAATATTAAAAACAATCACACAAATCAGGCCAGGGATTAGACCACGGACTAATCTGTTTAGCCTGACCTATTTTAATAGCTAGTTAATAATAAAGAAAATTATTGAATTTACTATTAAAGTATATAAGTCTAAATTTTTACTCTTTATTCTTAATTAATACCATTTTTATTAATATAATTATTTGATTAAAAATGATATTTGTTCCCATTTTAGTTAAGAATAAAGGGTGAAAATGTAAACTCATACTCTTTAATACGGTATTTGTCTCATTTTCCTGGTAACACCGCAAGATACGAAGGTCTTCGGTTGGTGAATGCACAAAAAAAAAAAAAAAAAAAAAAAAAAAATCACAATAGGATACCGGCAATCGTCGACTAGCTATCCTCGGTCGGCTATCGTCTGTTGCTGGAAGTTTTAGCATCACAGAACAGCACCTCTAAGTAATATAGTAGGATACCAAAAGTCATCGATGGCCGCTACCAATATCTTAGTATGATACTATTAGGGTGCATATAATATTCTAAGTCATACTTTGCACGCAAAAAAAAAAAAAAAAAAAATCTCAATAGCATAAATCAACCCACGGCATAGATTTGTAGTGTCCGTATAGCTTTAAAGTTACAACACGTTTCTAAAGCATGTAGACCCATTTCAACAATTAATTAGACCATTTCAATAATTAATTAAATTGATAAATGTGTTAAAAGACTAAATTTGTCTCTGCCTCGCTCTTTCAGAGAAAAAAAAAAAAAGGCTTAAATAAGTATGGATGAACAGCTACATTAATTTGTGTTTTGTTTTCCTGAACTGTTTGTTTGTCATCCTTTGTCTTAACTCTTATGCTCATTCATTACACAAGCTTGGACCGCATGTGTGCCTACACAATAGGAACCAAGAAAAAAAAAAAAACGGAAATAGTAGGAAATATGCCAATATGAAAAGCTTAAGAAAGTATACAGGCCAATTTTTAGTTATAAAAATTAATAGGCCATAACTTGTCAAGTTATGATTCATAACCAGATAAGTTATGAACAAACTTGTCAAGTTATGGTTCATAACCAGATAAGTTATGGATAATAACTTGTTAAGTTATGGTTTATAACTAGACAAATTATGGACGAAAACAATAATTTGACTTATTTATTAACTTATGTAAACTATTGGCCTATTAATTTTAATTCATATCAAGTCTTGGCCTATTTTCCTCTTTCTCTAAAAAAAAAGTAAGTTTATAAAGTTTGGTGTTATTAAGCTTGTAACTCTTGGTATCGTACCCTTTATGAAAATAAATTTAACACTACCAAAAGGTTACAATATTATAGAAAATGGTTAAGAAGATTTTTTTTTTGTTTGTTTTTTTTTTTTTTTTGTTTTAAAGAGAAGTTAAGCAGATTGTTGTATAGAGTAACTTTTCTTATAGAACGAAAAATGAAGATGATGAGTGATCATTTTTCCTTTTTAGAGAATTCAAGGTGGTTGTTATTTTGAACTACTTAATTCAAAAAATGTCATCATTTTTTAGCTAACTCTAAGTTTGAATGCCATTTCACCCTTAACAACATCTCATCCACTAATTCTTAAGAAGTTACAGAACTTCTTTTAAGCTTTAGGCTTATCCTGTTAATTTCTTTCATAATTCATTCAAACACAGTAACTTGTTGCAGACGCAAATACACTCCATAACATTCTAGAAACTTTTCGAGTTTTTTTTTTTCCCAAAAAGGCAAGATTTAACATTGTTTCAATCATTGGTCTAAAAATCAAATCTTTTTTCATCTTTAAGTCCAAGCTCATGAACAATCTATCGCGTCTACTTAGGGCCAATTTAGGGTTGTTTTACTCTTAAAAAATTGTAGTGCTTTTAATAAAAACAATACTTTTACTTAAAGCAAAAACAAAAAGAAAATGCCCCGTTCATTTCACCGATTTGAGTTTAAAATTTGAGTTTTGTTACAGTAAAAAGCTCTAAAAAACAGTCACATCTAACTTTTTTACTACAGTAAAAAAACACTCGCATAAAGTCACATCTTAACTCAAATTAAAAACTCGAATCAGCGAACTAAATAGACCCTCACATTTTGACTTCTCAAAATAACTAAAAAGGTACAGTGCAAAATGTTTTATACACTTTTATCAAACACTATAATTGCATTATTTATTATGCAAAATGCTTTTGAGAGTTTTAAAAACAATCCTAAACACACCCTTACTCCACTCTCTACTAACCAAACTTTAAAAAAAAAAAAAAAAAAAAAAAAAAAAAAAAAAAAAAAAAAAAAAAAATCATGCAAGCATTAACTATTAACTACCAACAAGTAAATGCACTCGGCTGACCAATGAGAAGCCTGGGTTGGATGTTATTAATGGCGGAGAAGAGCCCACAAATGGGTTGAAATACGTTGCCCATTTATTATGGCCCAGGTCCATGACAGAAAAGGTCCCCCTACTAGGAAATTGTGGGCTCAAAGAATCAGTTTCCAATTCAGAGTTCAACCTGTGAAACGTAATCAAGTCTTTTAAGATGGTCCCCAAAAATCAATAAATCATCCTAACTCTTCACCATGGCAATTAATTAGTGGACCCCTCAATTATTGGGTCCGGTCCTGACCTTTCTTACGCAATAATTTAATATTGTAAGAAGAGTACAATTTGTGCTTGTGCATGTAAAATAGCTTGGCTTTATGAGCCTCCACATTCACCCTAAATAGCAAGAAAGAAATTAACCACCACCCATTTTGGGCATATCACACAGAAATTTTACAGATGCAGACAAGAAATTTTACAAGTTTTGTAACAAAAAGACACTTCTCTTCGCACTTTGGGTGAAAGCTGAAATTTAGGTTGAAAATTCAGCTTGCCCATATAGACAATTTGATACCTCTCTTTTCTTTTTCCAGGTGTTCAACAATGCATGCACACAAGAGGAATATGCAAATGATGGTAAAATTCAACCTCACTTGTCAAATGCAAGAATTTGTGCCTAGCAACTTTTCCGGTTCTAATAATTCTGTAAAGCTAACATGAAAGTTAACGGAAGCATTTAAGAGAGAGAGAGAGAGAAGCCAAAATTGTGTTTGAAATGACTAATGTCTAATCTGAGTAGCAACGGATCATCAAACGGACTAAAAAATGATGCTGATTCGACGTGACTTTATGTGAGTTTTTTACGGTAATAAAAAAATTAAATGTGACTGTTTCTGAGAGTTTTTTACTGTAGCAAAATTCGAATTCTAAACTCAAATCGGTAACTCGATCGGTGAAATGTATGGAGCCTAAATCTCTCCAATGAATCAAACTATCAAGAATGGAATGAAATTCCATTTTGGCATCATCATTTAACTCAAACGTGGTCTGTTAACAAAGGACTCTCATGCAGCATATGCAATTGCAAGATACTGAATACTGAAAAGCAAACCTAAAATCACACAAATGCATTAAATACAACGTAGACTTGCATAAAGACAAAATGCAAATCCAACTACATTATCCGTATTTCAATCACAAAGAGGAACCAAATATGCTGCTGCATCATCTCACCCAAAACTGTTCTATATTCACAACCAAAATTATTGGCAAAAATTCTGCACACTATATAATAAGTCAACTAGGGTACAAACGAGTTAAACAGACTCCAAATGAGGATTGCAGATCAAACGAATGGCTTGCAAAATATAATTAGTTCATATATACATTGAGTAATGGAAATGGCACAAAAACAACAAGGAACTCAGAAAAACATATGGGCTTTTTTTTTCTTTTTTTTTTTTTATTCACACCACATTGCACCCAAAAACAATCCACTCACATACAAGAAAACACATTATTATTTCTCACGCTGATAAATTCTAAGAAATGGCTAATAGAATACGGATCAAATTTCCCCAAAAAAAAAAGAAAGACTCGCAGAGAGGATTAAAAGATTTTTCTTTTATCTTTCATCTTTCACACACCAGTCACCTTTTTTTTTTTTTTTTTCAATATCATTAGAACCAACAACATAGAGCATGGAAGCGGAAGACAGAGAGAGAGAGAGAGAGAGAGAGAGAGCAAAGAAGCAATCCGGTACCGTGTCAAGATAATTGAGCAATCTTCTTTCTTTAATTACCGTGTCAAGATAATTGAGCAATCTTCTTTCTTTAATAACAGTCCCAATTCTGCTGTGATTTTCCATTCACCATTTGCAATTTGCAATTTGCTAAGAAGGGTATTTTTTCTGCAACTTTTTTTTTTTTTTGGAACTTTTTGGGCGTAGAAATGAAAACCAAGCACAACCACACGTGAAAAACTCCAATTTCTTCAGCATGTGGATATTTCTGCAACAACCAAAAAGCTTTGCACGCACACCCCCCCATTTGTGGAAGAGACATTTCCACAAACGGCTTATCTTCAAAACCACTAACAACAATAACAATAACACCTAATAATCTTCAAAATCTCCAATTGCTCAGCTCAACCAAAGAGCCTTGCAGTAATTACTACTATGATCACTTCAATTGTCACAATCTTCTGCGCTAGCTGATATTCTCATATAATTACTTCAACTTGATGAAAATTCCAAATGTCTTTGAGGCTTGGAATTCTCCGGGGAAAAGAAAAAGATGAAAAAGAGAAACCCTTCCGACAACAACAGTGAAATCTTCAACCAGAATCCAAATTATCTTCACTCCCTTTCCTTTCTCTTCTTTCCAAACAAACCCCCTCAAAAATCCTAATTAAAAAAAAAAAAAAAAAACAATTTTGATCCCTAAAACCCTAAATTAAATGCAATTCAATTCACATACGTCGCTTCTTAAATTCCCCCCAAATTTCGGCAGCCGACCTCTAATTTCTCCAACTCTAACCCTAAGAACCATGAAAAAGAAGAAGAAGAAGAAGAGAAGAAGAAAAATCCGTCTCAAACCCCAGCACACGAGAAGCGATATAAGCAATACACATATCTATATATACTAAGGGAATTAAACCCCCCCGCCGTCAACGACCACCCGAAAAACCCTAAATTCTCACTCAACGAGGATCGTCTTCCCTCCTACCGGAGCTCCCGGGCCCACCCGACAAGGACGCTAGCAAATTCAGATGTCCGGGAAGGTAATTCCCCAATCTCGCCGCCGACGCCTCTCCCATCGCCTGCTGCTGCACGAACAGCGACGTCGCCGCATGCTGGTGCTGCGACACGCTCGGCTGCGCCACCATCTCCGGCGGAGCCGCCGCCGCAGCGAAGCTCCAGACTTGCCCGAAGTGCGGCGCCCAGAATCCTCCCGCCGGCGCCGCCGAACCGACCATCGACCCCATGGCGGTGCCTCCAACCACTGAAACGCCGTCGTTTCCATCGCTTCCGTCCTTAACTCCGCCTTCATCGGGCCTGAGGCGCTTCCCGAGGATGAACGGCGTGGGTCCGAGAAGGGGCTTGTGTTCGAGCGAGACGGAGGAGGAAGTCGTGGAGGCGGCGAGAGACGACCTGGCTCCGCCGCGGACGGAGACGGAGACGGTGGAGAAGCTGGCCGGAGTTGTCCCCGTCCCGGTGGCGGCGATTATGGAGGGCTCTGCCTGGCGGAGGAGCCATTCGATAGTCTGGCCGTCGGACTTGTGGCCGAGCTCGCGCGTGAGCTGGAAAACCCTGGCGGCGCAGATGATCGGCATGCGTATGCGCCGTCCTCGGCCGTCGACCTTGCTGTGACGGTCCTTTGACGGCGGCTTCTTAACCACCAGCGCGCCGTTATTGCCGCCGTCGCCTTTTTTCCCGCCGTTAGTGCCGTTATTCACCGTCGCCAGCGCCATCGGCTGCTGCCCCTGCTGGACCTCGATTATCGCGCCGTTATTGACGCCGTTGCTCGCCCCGACGTCGGAATTCGACATCTCTCGAGTCTAACTTAAAACCAAACCAAGCAAATCACCCTCTCCGAATTCCAAAATTCGGGTTTTTTTGAAGATAGGCTGCTGAGTTGTGCGTTTTCGAAGAGAGAGAGACGAGAGGTAGTTGTGTTTTTCTGTGTGTTGTGTTGTGGTGTGTCCGGGGTTTTGGTTTTGGTTTTGGTTTTGGTTTTGGGTTGGGAGTAGAGGAGAGAGAGAGAGAGAGAGAGAGGGAGGAGAGAGAGAGAGAGGAAGAAGGGGGAACAGAGCTCTAATCATTGAGCGGCAGGAGCTGGTGGAGACAGGAGGAGGGCACATGGGTGGTGGGGCCCAGTACTCACCCCCACAGCTCACACTCTCATACACAACCAAACAACACTCCACCCCCACGCTCGCCCTGCGACTCCGTAAAGGAGCGTGTTGCGCACGCGCATTCTCTTCTGTGGCTTGGTTATGTGGGCCCCCCGGTTTTTTCCCAAAGGGATTTTGGGTGTCAGGGAGTGGGTCCCGCTGATTTTCCGTACTGTTTCACTATTTTTGGACGGACTTTTTTTATTTATTTTTCCCCTGTTGGAAGTTGGAATGATAGATTTTAAATTTAATTACGATTACAAAAGTTCATAGGAAAATAATTCGAATGAGTTAACAAGAGATGCGTCGAGTATCTAACAAAATTAGAAGTAGATAAGTAAAATATTTTGTTGGAGGAAGAAAAAGGAATATTTTGTATTTCAATGCAAGATCTTATGTAATAATAATAAAAAAATTATTTAGGAGATGTTTAGTAAACATACTAGAATTATTTTTTTTAAGGAAAATTTCATTCAAATTAAGATAATAAAATATTGTAAGTGAATGTGAATTATCTTGTAATACAAGGCATAACTCTCCATGAAGACCAGTTCCACCAGCATAATCTGATAATGCTCAATGGGTAGTAGGTACGTCGGAAGCTTAAAAAAAGAAAACATCTTGACACACTAAGAATGAGCTCACATAATGTTCTTTTTTAATGTTCTTTTTTATAAGACCTCAATAATCGAAGTAAGCATTCGATTGATTAAGAGTCACTACACTATAGTGTAAAGTTCACCATCCACACAACAGACACACACAACAATGCAAAGAGTGAACTCTTACGGGTTAGACATATAACCACAATTAGAAGTTGGAGAGACCACCTTCGTTAATACAAAACGAAAACTCAAACACATTAAAAGACAACACCAACAAAGCAAAAACAATTCCGCCTTTATTTTAATCAAAACATATACCATTAAACGGAAACAAAGCCCCAATACAAAATAATAAAAAAAATCATTAAAGCCAATCCAACCACAGCGAACATGGAGACTAATAATAATAACCAATTTAGTAAATTTATAATGTATTTTTCAGACTTCAAAAATAATATGCTTATTCTGTTATACATAATTTATTGGTCTTATTATAATTTCTAATTAAGAATTTTGTACACAGCTAAAACAACCCTCAAAATTATGTTTTCAAAATGTTACATCCTTTGTTGGTTTTGCACGCAGCTATAATTTTTTCTTTTTCTTTTTTTTTTTCATTACAAAAGTATACTTTTCCGAACCATTTTTTTTATTTTACAAATGTCCAACTAATTGTATTATTGTCCGAAAAGCAAAATCAAGTAGTAACAAGCATTCCAAGTCAAAGATGCATGACCCATACATAATAAACCCTATCTCTTTTCTTCCCCTACTAGACTTATCTTTTTTTTCCCCTACCCGAAATAGACCTATCTTATGAATGATTTATGCCTCCAAACTTAAGGTATCTTTACTAAACCATAATATACTGTAACTTTTCTTTTTTAAAATGGGAAATGCATTCCAAATTAGGAAAATAACAATCACTAATTCAGACGTAAAAGTCTCAAGTGTATTTAACGACCAACTCTAGTTATAGTGGTTTGATTGAAACGATCAAGGGGGTAACAAGTGTACCGAGTTCCAACAAGAGGAAACTAAAGAGGCATACACCTATTCAAGCACAAAATTGTCACTTTCAAATACACCACTAACGTCGCAATAGCCGACAGATAACTCTGATCATTCAAAATCGAAAGAGCAAAAGCACTAACCCTACCCCAACACCACAAAGGGACATGTCATGCAGACTAACCATAGCGTTAACACCGTAAGGTGGGGAGACCACCTCTGTTATTACAACGAAAAGCTAACAAAACAACATAAACAACCTAAAACTGAATGTCGAAAACATCACTGCATTTATTTGAAAAACACATAAATTAAAACAAAGAGTTACCCAAATGACACCAATCAGAACTCTAAGAAAAGCCGGCCACCACCACGAATGAGCGAGGATGCAGTAGAGAACCAAACGATACGAGAAGATGACGAAAAACAGTCGAGCCACCGCTGCCTCCACTCGCCACCGGAAAAAGGAAGAGCCTCGTGGCCAATGGAGCCACCGCCCCCAAAGATCTGAAACCCCTACCACGCATAGGAGCACCGAAACACCCACCGGGCACTGGAGCTCCCAAACACCCCCAAACCGCGAGGAGAACCGCAGTCACCCACACCCTCCATCATCCTCGACCATCGAGTCACATACAAACCCCCTCAAAAGGAGCAAGATATTGAGAAGACCAATCCGTCGTGGGCTCATACTTGCCGGTGCACATAGGCACCCAGCGCCCGCTGCCCAAAGCACACCGGAAACCCTTTCAAAACCCATACCACTCCATCAAAATATGACGCCTTCAAAGTTTCACCATAAGGGTCCAATCCTCATCATTTAGGCACCCACCCATGGGGCCAAGAGTCCGGCGCACTGTCTGAGGGTCGCGCTGGATTGTGGCCCTTTGAACTTACCCCTAAGCCGGCACGAAGAAAAAGAAAAGGAGAAAACAAAACCCTAGCAGAGGAAACTCCATTGTTTAGTGTAATGTAATTGGATAAAGATAATGAGTTTGGAAATTAAAATATTATTAAGAGAGAAAAGTGCATAACTACCCTTCTATAATAGTCACCAATCTATTATTAATCTCCTTCATCATAAAGCTTTTTATTAGAATAGATCAACTTAACAACTTAAGCTAAAGAGACAATACTAAACAAATGGGACAATATTGATTCCGCATTAAATTTTAAGGGTCAATTCTAGAAAAACTTCTTATAAAAATGTGTTAAATTTATTAACTTGTTCGTGTTTACTTACCTATTAAAAGAATGAAATGAAAAACAATTCAGTTTACTTTTTAGTGTTTGCTTTATTTCTTGATATGATAATAGGGTAGCTCACATATTGGTTAATTTTGCCCCTATTTGTTTCATAGGTTCGAATTACTATTCAATCCTTTTTACTACAATGCTTTCTCTCATAAAAATTAAACTTTTATTCAAACTATGAACCAAACGGGCCTTTTGCCTTCTATAATTCTAATGTTTTCTTTGGCGCTATTCTCAGATGTATTAGTCTTAATTGTTTCAGTTGATTTGCCTTAGTAATATAGAAACCACATAGTTTGTAAAAAAAAAAAATAGAAAATACTAGGAATCTTATTAATTTATAATCACTAATATATCCTTTAACACAATTAAATAATCAATAAGATATGTGATCTGTTATTCCAAGAAAAGCTACCCAAGAGGAGGTGAATTGGGTATTTTAATTTTTTTAAAAATTATTACAATTATTAGAGAATTAGCATAAATATCAACAATTAATGAAAGTAATATCTACACGGTAATGTTATCAAACACTGTATGGGTAATTTAACAAGCACTCAATTCAATTCAAGGAAAACAAATATTCTCATTTCTAGAAGACAATCAACAATCAAATGCACAATTTAAGCTTAGAATTCAATAAATTAAAGAGAGGTAGCGAGAGAAGTTTGCAACCAGAGATTTATAGTGGTTTAGCAAAAATTGCCTACATCCATTGTTGCTGAGCTACTCTGTCACTCAACCTCTTCCACTATCTAATTGTCTTTCCGGCACGATCAATCCACTTTACAACCGATGGATCTTTCTATCTGAGACTCACCCGACCTCTTAGAACCGTCGATTTTTCTCCGGAGATCGACAAACCAACCTAATCCAAATTCACAAAGCTTAATTGATTCAATGAGAATTTCAAAGATGTTTAACAAGGCACTCAAAATCTTACTCCTAGAAAGATTTTACACAAGAAATGAGACTAGGAGATGATAATGTCACACTACCAAAAAATAAATTCAAGGTATGCTCAAGAGTGTTTATAAAGATCAAGGGAGAATTTAGAGAAGATGAAGATTATGTAAGCACATTTTAGAAATTCTTTGGGTTTGAGACAATGTAAGAGCTCTCTGTAGGAAAAACGGTAACGTTTTGCGCATAGAAATTTTAAAAGTCTTTAAACAATATTAAAGTCAACTATGAACATGTTCATGATACTATATAACATAAATATCAAAGATTTAATCATACCTTCAGAGATTACAGAAGCATCTCATCTAACAGATCAAAGCATTCTAAACAACAATCAAAAGAGTCTCAACCAACTGGTCTTCTTTGTTATTCTCATTTCCACGATCGGAGTGCGAGTGGGCACACGTCGTATAATCTCCCCTTAGTATCTTGAACTAATTCTTCCAACCACAAGAGAATCAAAGGAAAAATTGATCTTGAGACTTAATCAACATTTTCCTCTCAGGAACCCTTACCAATAGCCCCCAAAAAGTCATGATCTAATGAATAATGGGACTTACTAGGTTATTTGTAGAGTAGTAAATCATATTCCCACAATAATTAAGTTTTTCAAAGTCAAATCGCGTAACAAATCCCATTGAGTCAATTTTTCCACATAAGCAATTATGATCGGTCAACTAGTCCACTGTAGTTATAAAACCACCAGTCAATCGGTCCCAACATGAAAAATATTTGTGTTGACTTTTACGTTCTGGTCGACCGGCCTCCGTCACGGGTCAACCGGTACTATTTTGAAAACTTGTTTTTCAAATTTATTCAATA